CCTCCCCCACCTCATTTTCGCACCAACCTATTCCCTTTCTTTTATCTAGACCCCCTTCCATCTAGTGCGTGTCCTCTTACATTTCAAGTTGTCATCGTGTTTTTAACAAATTAAAATTCACATCTTTTTCAATCCTTGTACCCTTATCTTTTATCCTTTAATTCGTTTTAAAGGCCGCCCCAGTGCAAACAGAAAGCAGTCTTAATCATTCACGATTTACTCAAAGTTTTGTCTTGTTTTAGTTTGGTTTGGGGAGAGTTTTACAACGACCACAACTGCATGATGCCATAATATGAGAGAGCCCTTGTATTGTTTTGCTTTGTTTTGTTTGTTATGTTTCCTGTCACCGTTTGAGCAAATAAGTCGCTTGCGCGCGCGTGTCGTTTACATAATACATGCCCCTTTCTGTCTGTGCGTGTGTGCAGTGTGCAGTCAGTTGCAAGGGGGGACATGGGTGCGGCGCTAGCCCTAACGGTGTGCTGCGGTTACATTACGTAGCGTGACCTTCTGTTGTAGGCTAGAGTGTGGGGTCATACAGAGAGGGAGGTTACAGTTTGGCGCACAGGTCACCATTCTTTCAGGATTTCTTTAGGACGCACGTGTGTTATGTGCGTTTGTGCGTGATGTGTTCCAGTACGTTTTGTGTTAGTCGGTTGGCATTTATTTCCGAGGTTTCTACTTAGCTTTTTTCGTCTTCTAAGTCTAAGTTCGGAGTGTGGTGCTCGAGTTTTGAGGAGTTTTTTTTCTCTTCTTCATTTTGCGTCGTTCGACTCAGGTTTGTATGTTACGACTTATTGTTGTTGTTGTTGTTGTTGTTGTTGTTTGTTTTTGTTGTTAATGTTACTACTGTTGCTGCTGCTATTGTTGTGTAATATATGGTGATAATGATGATGATAATGAGGATGATATCGATGACGGTGGGTAGTACAAGAAGCTGTGCGCTTTTTAATCCCTGTTCGTTCCTTATTCTTTCGCTTCTATTTATCTCATTAGTTAACTGTTCTAACAGTTTAAAAAGCACTGCTTTTAGAGACGAAATAAAAGTAAATCATAAGCCTAGTGGAAGCCTGTGTGTATTCTTACTTTCGCGAATGTGGGTGGTTAGCAAGTGACCTGGTCTGCTTTGCTTTTTCGATCTTTCCAGTAAAAAATCCTACCGTCCTTATCTCTTCCCCGTTGCTGTTCTGTGATTTTGTACGTTCTTCTCTAGTAACACCTCTAATCCTGGGCGCTTGTATTGACTTTTTTGTTACAAGTGCCGTAAAACTCTCACAAAGACTGAACCTGATCTAAAACTGTCACGATGCGTGCCTTTAAGCCACCCACGATATCCTGTTCCAATTATGATTCGTGACCTAGATTTTTTACATCTTTGTCCTTCTTATGACACGTATGTCCAAACACTGATTGATGTACAAGATAACAATCACACCAACGGGAAGCTGGCTGAAGATTAGTGAAGGGGCATCTAAAAGATGGCGTGACAGACACTCACACACACACACACACTCACACACACACACACACACACACACACACACACACACACACACACAGAGAGAGAGAGAGAGAGAGAGAGAGAGAGAGAGAGAGAGAAAGAGAGAGAGAGAGAGAGTATGACAGTTTCAAGTGGTGTCCAATCGCTATAACAGAAGAATTGTTATTTTATCGGAATGCTGTGGGGATTTCGGGGAACATAGCTAGTACATATAGACAAGTTGCTTGCGAGGCGGTTTAGACCAGTCTCTTGATTAGTAACTTGCCAGACAGTTTGAATATTATGGATTAAACAGAGATGGAATTATCTTCAGGTTAGTTTTTGTTGTTTTTGGGCACTTGATACAAAAATAGGTTATATAAGAGCAGACGATTAGAAGAGAGGATAGCAGAGAGTAAAGTACAAAGAAGAGATAAGGACGACAGATATTTGATAGATTAAAGGAAATAAACCAAACTAGAGACCTGCTAGCCACTCAATGGCATAATCTTTCGAAAAGGCTGGTTTGTGGGCAAATCGTCGTGTTACCACAGTTACCGTTTTACCTATGGTCTTCATTGACATGCGCAAACCTTTACGTTGGGCCTTAATGACATTGCACGGCTAGCCGAGGCTGCAGCACGTCAACAGATTCTTGGATGTTAAAACATAATAATTATGAAGATCACAATAGAAAAACAGCAATAATTACAAGTGAAATATTAAGTACCAATGCCTTTTTTTTCTTAATTTCATGAACTGCTCTCTTTTTGACCATGCGCGACTAGTGTAAATGATTATGTCACCTTGCCCTACACGAAGCGCCTAAAAAAAACCTTTTCTGATAGAGATGCTGTTGACGAACGAAACGGAACAAATCAAACTATATATCAAAATCGATTAAAGCAAGGGTTTTTTAAAATGTTATCAACGTTATTTCCCTCTGCGCTCTTGAAATGGTTCACGCATTTAGCATCTCCTCGGTGTCAAGTAGCATTTATTTTATTAGAATGTCAAAGGCAGTGTTTATAATTTATTTATTTTACACCACTGTTTAGTTTTAGAAAGAGTTTTTACGGCACTTGCAACACAATAAGGCCACATAAGACCGAAGATTAGTTGTGTTACGTGAGAGGAAGAAACTCAAAAAAGGTGAGGAGATAAGAACGACAAAGATGTTTGGTAGGAAAGAAGAAGCAATCCACACCAGAGCACCCGCCACACCCCCACTTACACCACTTGTAATTCGTGAATAAAGGTAACTTTGTAGGATGTTGTGTATGAATTACATCTTCTCTTGATTATGCGGCCGAATCGGACACTTATGAACACTATGAAGTCTGTCCTGCACTTCGCAAACGCTCTAGTTTTGGTGTCAGAAATATCATGGGACCATCCCATTCTATCCCTGTGATTCTAACATCAACTATAGCAGTATTTAAAAATTGGCAATTACTTGTTCGGGATCGCCTTCATGTGTGTCTTACGTGAAATAAGAGACGACACCCACTGCACCCGGCACCATTTTTATAAAAGTTTTACCTACGTCTACATAAGATAGAGCACCGGAATTTGTGGTGTAGATCTAGTGGTAAAGCGTTTCGTCTTCGCATACAGAAGACTGATTTCGATTCTTGCACGGGGTGGTTGTTGTTGTTTGTTTGTTTAATTGGATATCTCCGTCCGTCTGCTGCAACGTTTTCTCCCTCTCCGCTCTGGTTGGCCCTGATAGGCAGAGTCGATGCAACCCGCTTCCTAAACGGTCTAAATAGAGTCGATTTTTTAAAATTATCTTTTTTGTGGGCGATGGGGAGGGGGGAGGGGGAATGAAACATCTACTGTTACATTTATTTACACGTAAGACGACTGTGGTGTCGTGTCGTTGTTTTTAGCTTAAAAGCCTTTCACGATGCTCACTCACAACAGTTTATCCCGTATCTGGTTCATATTGGTTCCCGATGTTAGCTCAAGCACTTGGGTGACTTAAGGGCTCAACGTTAGTCCTTTGTTGTCAGAATTACTTGTCATGACTAAGAGCAACTTGATAGGACATTGGCCGCAGAGATCAATGACGGGGGAATCGAATGCGCGAGCCGAGTTCCGGAGGATAATTACTTGTTGGGTTGTGAGTGAGTGCGCGTGCATGTGTGTCGGTGTGAGTGTTGTGTCTTTGTCTGGGTGTACGAGGATGAAAGAATTGGAGGGTGAGCTAGAGGGGGGAGCTGGGTGAGAGAAAGAGAGAAAGAAAAAGTGATAGAAAGAGAGAAAGAGAGAGAAAGAGAGAGAGAGAGTAAAAGACACACACACATCACACAAACAAACACACACACACACACACGCGCGCGCACAGAATCTTTCTCTTTATCAAACATGCATATAATTATATTCACAATCATGTACACAAATACACAAGCGTATTATGTTATGACATATTATGAGCGCCCGTAATTATGTGTACACATGCATGCAATGGGTGAGCAAACAAGTAAATGAACGTGCGACCGAGAGAGAGAGAGAGAGAGAGAGAGAGAGAGAGAGAGAGAGAGAGAGAGAGAGAGAGAGAGAAAATGAGAGAGAGAAAGAGAGATAGAGACCGATAGATAGACAGACAGACAGACTGACTGACTGACTGACTAACTGACTGACAGAGATGGACAGAAAAGTAGACAGACGTACGACAGAGAGGGAGAGAGAGTATAGGTCGGATTGGGAGGGGGGGTGAGAGAGAGGGGGAGCGAGAAAGAGAGAGAGAAAGAGAGAGAGAGAGAGAGAGAGAGAGAGAGAGAGAGAGATAGGAGTAGGGACACCAACCGGGTTTGGGGAAATCTCTCGGGGTATTTGGAAGCATGTTATGTGAGAAACTGCAAGCACTCTTTGTTTGCTCAGCTCTCTGTGACAGAAAGATACCTCGCGGTACGCAGCGGCGACAGCCCAATGGCATGCGGTAATCTCGCGATGCAGTGGAAATTGTCCAAGACGACCTCTCATTGTCGTGATGAGAAAAGTCGTAGACGCAGTGGACTTCCGGCCCATCTTTCGGCCGGGAGGTAGAAGGGCCGGGTCGGGAGGTAGACAGTAGACAGGACCAAAAAAGTAATCTTCCTGCCCAGTAGAGGTGGGCAAAATCCGGATAACCTATCCGAAAAGCCGGATATTTCTCAATGAAACAAAATCCGAATTCAGACTCTAAACTGTCTTTCCTGGCCCGTTTGCCGAAGTGCGTGCACCCATAGTGAGGCTAACTGTTTGTCGAAGTGGTTCTTACCCACTTGCCGAAGCGGTTCATAACATAATTATTGTTCGCCGAAGAGGTGCACTGACATATTATCCGGATTTTTCTAAAGCGGCTCATTGCCCAGCCTTACTGCCCAGCCCGTTGTAGTTTCAAATCAGGGCTGCCAGTTTGGCCCCATACGGGGCCAAATTGCTCAAATTTGGCTCTTTGGGATCATGACTGACCCCCCAAAAAATGGTTGGACCCAATTTGGCCCATTTTAGATTTCACCAAAAAAAAAGAAAATAAATGAAAGAAAATAAAAGCAACGAGATTTTTGCCACACACAAAAAAGCATTTATTAGTCCCAAATGGTTGGCAGTGAAGGCAACCGCAGCAAGAGCGGCTGCGTGGAATAATGGCTGATCAAGAAAGTCGTGTTTACATTGTGGAACTTGCAGAGGATTCTAGCGTCAAGACAGTTCAGAAACATTTTAGGATCTTGCTGCAGTGAGTCGTCCCCATGAAGGAGCCATGGCATGACCACTGACAGTGACAG